GAGGAATGCCAAGAGCCATAAGACTTTAATTTTTTTTCATTACAACCAAAGCATTAAGCATAGGAATCTTCCCCCCAAGCTCACGGAAAAACACCCAAACCAGGAACCGCACGGACCAAAGAGCCACGGCCACGGGAAACGAGGGACCATCACGGAAGGAGCCCAGCCGTGAGATCCCAAAAGGTAAAGCATCCCAACATAAATTCTTATGCATAGAAGTCATCTCCCAATAAATATAAGCCACGGATTCCCAAGAGACAAGAAGAAAGGGGAAGGGGAAGGGACAAGGCCACTCCAAAAGTAAACTTCATAATGAGGTACCTTTTGAGAATTAAAGAGCTACTAAACTTCATCTCAATCAACTTAGAGAACAAGCTCAAAACCGAATGCTCCAAAACAGCCAACCCGTGAACCACCCGCAGCCAGGGACCAATCGAGCCAGCAAACCAAAGGTCTAGCAAGCCATATGCACTACCTACCATGATCATTGGATGCTTTCCCATCATTGGATAGCTAAAAAAGAAAAGAAAACAAAATATACTATTGTTCAAATAAAATAAAAAGTACAGAAATTCTTGATAGCATCAAAAGTCCAAAGAATCCTTGATGCATAGGCCAAAACTAGACATCATTCTTTTATAATTATTTAATCCAAATGTAACAAACTAAATACCCATCATTAAACATAAAAGTTCAATGCTAACCCTTATTGATTTGTACCCTCAAAGTTACAAATCTCCCTCATCTATTGAGCTAAAATTGATAGGTGATCCTTTTTTCCCTCCAACTCCAAAGTTGAAGGAGATTTCCCCTCTCTTTAGCTCCAAAAGCTAAAGGGAGTTTTCCAATATTTAGCCCAAAAGCTAAATGTCAGATCCCTACTTTCTCTTCTTAGCTCCAAAAGCTAAGGATAACCCTTCCAACATTTGGCCCAAAAGTTATGTGTTGGACTCTCTTTCTTCCCCCTCCTTTAGCCTCAAAGGTAAAAGAAATGTTCATTCCCTTTCTAGCTCCAAAAGCTAGGGGAAATTTCTCCAACATTGAGCTCAAAAGCTACATGTTGGATACTTCTTACTTAGATTCAAATTCTAGGAGGACCCTTAGTGTGACATATCACACAAACCTCACACACTTAGGTGCACAACCCCTTAGGCATACTAGGATTAGAATTTCTCTTTGTGTGCGCATGTAATTGATGTTATGAAGTGATTGCCCTTTTGGATTGTCTGCGTTGTGGGCATTTTCCCTTAAGTGGTTAGTTTAGAAATATATACATGCTTTTTTGTGCATGTGGCCATGTCCAAGAAGGGGATAAATGTCATGATTATGCTAATGTTGTTTGCTTGGAGGAGCTGCTTAAAACCCCCCAAGAGGCATAGCCAATATGGTAGAAGCAGGTGCTTAGCACTCTAAGTGCTAGGCCAATTTTGGGATGCTATACAATTATTATATAAATTTCTTCTAACTCTATTTTGCATATTTGAGTCTTTTATATTTTTCAAGTGTATTTGATAGAAGTAGGATGTAAAACTTGTGGAGGTTTGGAGCAAAAGAAGGGAGTCGACTAGAAGGATGTACCTGCCAAAGGTGAAGCCCTACGTCCGTCTAGAAGTCAAGGACTTGAAGACCCCTCATAAGTAGAGTCTTTAAATTTAACTGGGTTAAATAATGACAGGAAACTCAGCTACCAAACATGTTTGTAATAATTGGAACATTATTTACACTTTTGTTTTGATTTATATACAAACATGTGTTGATGTGTTTACTGGGTGCGCAGTAAAAAAGCATGTATTTTTCCTAGGTTTCTTCTATTGCTTTATTTGGGTGTGGCTTGGACTTTGTTGCGGTAGGCTCTTAGGATAAAATAAATTTATTTCCTCTTAACATGTAAACAATCTAAAAAATGAAATTAGGCTTCATGTTTTCTAAATAAGAAAATTGCATGGCTCTCTTTCAAGGAGCCAAGTTTTCTAAAACTTAAAACAATAATCATACATAGCCCAAAGTATGTTGCATATAGAAAGCCTTCACTTAAAGATTAGATAACAAAAATCTTTCTTTTGTGAATTAGCATTATGCATACCCGTCATAATTAGACATCTTGACCTCAAAGCCAAGTTATAAGTCCTACTTTCTAAATAAAAATAGCCTTCCACTCTTCATTTGCATTGAGACTAAGATACATGGTTTTAAAAGCAATTAGAAAGGTTTAGCTGGTAGTCCCTTCCAGGCGGGACAGTAAATCCAGAGGTCGGACAGGCTATGCCTCTAGTGAGGTGTAGTTTATAAGCCCATTTATACTCGTTAGATTTAGATTCGAGGCACTATCTATTGGTAGTCCTCACCTTAGTTTTAGGGTCCGAGTCATTGGTTGATTCCAAATCACCCTATAAGCCCTCACCTTTCAAGCAATCCCTCCAACATGTGTTGTTGGAATGTAAGCCATAACTTTCTAATTAAAATATCAACTTAAACCAAAATTAGATTCAAAAATGTAAAGTCCAACATAGGATAGTTTGAGCACCTCTGAGTTTTACTCAGAATCAAATGCTCCTACTTCACCTCCTTTGGCTCTCATTCCAAAATATAATTCCTAGTTGATCATCACTTCCTTAAAATTCCTAAAGAGCCAAAACCTTTAAGCAAGACTTTAACGGATTTTCAAAAGTCAATGTTTAAATGACTCCCAAGACAAGCAAAACCACTAGTTTAATTAAAAGTTTTCCCAAGCCAAAGCTTGGGATGTAATTAACCATAGGGGCTTGCCCCTCTGGGATGTATGTACCCCAGAAATAAAATAAACCCCACTCGACCAAACATCAAGTGAGGAATATCTGTTAAAAAATTGTTAATTTTATCATTGAGTCCATAAGAAAATGATATTTTTGTCCTTCGGGGTAATATATCATCATTCTTATGTCGTGCTCAATCATAAAATATACAATCCGTTTGAGGACTACAAAAATTCTTCAACAATAAGAATTACCAAAGGTCTTCACCTAACGCCTCATGAAACTATTATTTTCTATGAAACCATCAAACTTTTTTTACCATCTTGGTGTCTGTTGGAGACCATATAAGCTTTAATGAAGCTTGCATACCATTTTTTCCTTCCCTATACTAAGATTCATAGTTGCTGCATTATGTAAATTTCTTCCTTCACGTCAACATAAAGAAAGGTTGTCTTTACATCCACTTCACCAAGCACAAGTCTTCTTTTGCCACTAGTGTGAGCAACATCCTAATTATGGCTTATTTCACCATTAGAGAGGAAAGTTATGCACAACCAAGGATTTCATTGCACTAAAAATCTTTAAAAACAAATCTGGTATTGTACCACTTGTTATCATCATGTTCTTCTTTATTCTAATAGACCTACTTATTTTGTAAGGCCTTATTTCCCTTCGATAATTCTATCAACTATTAGGCTTGATTAGATAATATCGAATCAATCTCATCATTCATATACAGCCCCAACTAAAATAATTCTTCGTTCTTCATGGCTTCACCATAACTCTATGGTTCATCTCGATCAGTCAATAAAATATAATGAAATTTGTGAAAGAATGTTTTTTTTCGTCTGACAATTCTAATAAAACTCCTAATGGGAGCAATATGAATTATTAGATCTATTTAAGGGGTTATATTCTCTTGCTCTAAAGTACATGTATTTTCAATCTCGAATAAATAAATAAATCTTAATGGGATCACGTTCAGCATCAAAGTTTCAAGGCTTTCAAAGTTTCCATTCAACTTTTCTTGATACAAGACATATTCATTAAATATCATATCTTTGCTCTTAATAAACTCCTGATTTTGGAAATCCAAAAATAATAATAATCAAACTCGATATTACCATAACTAATAAAATACTATATTTTAGATTTTGCATCAAGTTTACTTCTATCAATGGAATATAAATAGGCAAAACAAACAAACACTTCCAAAAAAATAAAGGTTTACCTCATTACAACTCCAAACCTATAATAGTATTAAAAAATTAAATGATATTGAGGGACCTGTATTAATCAAGTATGTTATGTTAATAGCCATCGCTAAGAACATTTTTGGTAACCCAACATGCAATCTCAAGCTCGTAGTATGCTTGTTTAATATTTGGTTCACCCTCTCAATCACACCATTTTGTTGAACCTTCCTTACTAGCACATTACATTAATCTCAACCACATAATTTATATTTAACTTATTGAAAATATTAGAAATGACCTTTTTTTATTAGATTTAAATGAGAATTTAACTTTTAACATGGCACAATAGAGAAAAAGGATTTATGTAGCTGACCTCACATAGTGGGATGAAAGCTTTATGTTGTTGTTGTATTTGTTTCAACGTTAAAACAACTTCTGCCATCTTTAGATAACATTTTTTTTTCACAATATGCCAAATAGTTGCATGCAAAGCACTTCTTAGACATATCTGACAGACTTCATCAAAACCATAGTGGTCCTCTCCATCGTCATGTGAGCCACATCTTCTACAATGTCAAACTAATACTGCTATAATCTATCTATCAAAGATATTCAACTATTCATATCTATCTATCAAGGATATTCCACTATTCATCCTTCATAATCTTGATAAGAAGATGCATGTTGACCACAATTGATTGCCCTAATTATGTGGTCAATTATAGCGTATATCAGGTCAATCATGACCATTAACCAAAAAAAAAGATGCCTTGCTCTGGTCAATTGATTGCCATAATTATTTGGCCGATTCTAGCGTAGTATATCAGGTCAATCATGACCATTAACCACAAAAATATGCCTTGCCTAGCGCGCAGGTTTATGCATGCTAAATGAAGCAAAGTCTTAATTTATGGTGGGCTACAAGGTCAGTGTTTTCTCATAAATCATCAACTCTTTGAGGAGGTGCACGAGTGAACGGAAAGTTTTGTTGTGTAATTCAAGAAAAAAAAACCTTACAAAATGAAGCCTAAATAAGCACCATGACTTTTAAAGCGAAATAGATTAATTAAAAAATTTCATAAGTGAACATAAAGCATAGCATTCAGGTCTACTTGAAGCTCAATTCTCAATTGCTAAAGACTACCTCAGCAGTTGTGCCAGTAATACCAATGCGCACTCTTCCATCATCTGAATGCCAATGTACACTCATCTGAAATAAGGATTCATTCAATTAAATCCGAACATTTCTCGAAGAACGCTAATTAGCAATAGAGTCAATGCTAATACCAGCATGAAATTCATACCACACCAATAGTGTACGGAGCATCAACCTGATGCAGAGCTCTTTCAACAGCAGCTTTGAATCTAGGAAGAATCACTCTAAGAGGGAGAGTTGCTTCGGGAAATAAAACAACGCCTAATGGTTGAAAAAATTTTAAAGATGGACACAAAAAAATGCTTACAAAAGGAACGAATAAACTAAAAACAACATAAAACGCTCTGATAGATTGGATAGTTATATTGCACAATAATGATAAAGATTACTTTTCCTATTAGCTGATGAATAACCCTAAAACAGAATATGAGAGACTGTCATGTACTATGTGCAATAGAAAAATGTCAAGTTTTGTGAGAAATTCAACAAGTTCACAAACCATTTAGCACTAACATACAAGTCACTATTAAGCGTGATTTATAGAGAAAAGGAACTAGAATTCACTTCAAGGTAGCACAAACAGACAAACTATTAAAAGTATATTCAGATCAGATTTCTCACTACTTCGCTTTCAAAACGCTATCATATTTCCATTTGGATAATGCTTTCTTAATGCTTTTAGAGATTTTTATGATATGATAAGAAGTTGCTTTTTACAATTAAATCTATTAATGTGTGGTAAATATAAGATAGATGTTGTTCAACTTCTATAACTAAAATACTCAATTGTTTTCAAAAAAGTTACTTTTTCTTACAATAGCTTCATAATCATCTTTACAAAAATCTAGATATACCCTAATCTATCAATCTACACATAAAAACTCCAAAATTAACCACAATGCATTAAACCTCTAGATAAAACTTTTAGCACACGTACAAATTTTCATAATTAAAAATACGAGGAAGCTAGTAGACACTTGTTTAACAATTACCACTCCATGGAAAATTCTCTAAATATAAGCAACAGCACTTATTTCAGATATACTAAGTAACCTGGGAAATGATAGTAATAAAAGGAGATAAGAAAACTAAATCAACTCTCCAACTCCAAATATAAGATATAATAACCGGTTTAGAGATTATTTATCATATGAAATGTAAGTATGAAGAAACAGTGAGGCTGCAAAATTTAGCCTAACACAGCCTGGCAAACAAATCATCTAATCCAGTTACCGAGTATCTTAAAAGAAAAAATCGTGCGGTATTCAGCAACTGCAAAAATTAGCTAATCTTTTGGAATTTATCAAAACCTAGATGACACAATAAATTCATGTGACAAAACACAACTACTCGAGATTTCCAAATACTGTTCAATCTTTTGCTTCATTTACAAACTTTTGACAGAAAAATCATAAGTCACAAAATGAAAGGTCCCAAACTACTTTTCTTCCTCTCAATTCTTCATTGGTTCTCAAACTACTTTTATTCCTCTCAATTCTTCATTGGTTCTCACTGCATGCTAAGCCATGAAGTGCACACTTTAACAAAATGTTCAGACACTCAACACCATATCAAAATGCCATTGGAAGTGAATCTATATATCTCCGGAAACTCTACAATGTAGCCAGTTGCACATTGGATACAAATTGAACACAAACGATTCAACTCTTAACTTTATTACATACTAAATCAATCCTACTATAGATCCCAATTCACACTCTTCCACTCCATCACTCTCTCTGCATATTATTTTGTATGGCATATTTAACCAGCCTGCTGTCATTTTACCAAACTTGTATGAAACAACAAATTCAAGTAACAAAACTCAAGCACGGAAAATTTTCAAATTCTGTTCAAGCATTTACTCATTTACAGACTTACAAATCTAGCAAAACAAAGAAAAAATTAGAAGGCACAAAATCCAAGGTCCACAATACTTCCTCGCCCTGCATCATTGGTTTTCACTCCATGTTAAACTATGAAGTATGCACTTTTACTGGATGTTCAGACACCGAACACCATGCCAACATGCAATTGAGAGCACCCTAGTCTGGCACTTCTTAGGCACTTCGAAACGGCCATACACACGTTAGATTCAAATTGAACACAACCAATTCCACCCTTATATACTAAATTAATTTTACAATAGATACCAACTCATCATTGTTGCTTCATATGGATGTATCTGACATATTCCTATCTGGCTATTTATAAATAGAAGTTTAATTTTCATGATATACCAGTAAATATAATAATTACTAAGTCACGAGGTAAAAATTTTCTAAGGTTAATGTCCATGTTGCATATTTCCAAATTCTTCTTGAAGTAGTAATCAAAATTCAATTAACTCGCATTAGATGCTCTCAACCATGCAAGCAGTCTTAAACACACATGCCACATCATGGCTATGACATTCCAAAGGGAAAGGCCATTCCCTTTTGGCATGATTGAGGAGGAGGTGGGATATAAACCGACACCATGTTTGTTCATAGCCATATGTAATCTTGTAAGCTCTTGGCCTTGCCCTATTACTGCAACTCCTTCCAAGACACATGTTATGTTTCATTCTTTAAGCTAAGAGTCCATGCTAACACTCCAATGCCCCATCAAGGTAATGGTGTTCCAAAGAGAAAGGCCATTTCTGATGTGGCACAAGCTGCCAATGCAACAAATGGTGGATCAACAACTTGAGACCAAAGCAAGAACGTGGTTGTTGACAGACAAAGGATTATGACCCAAAACTAATGAAATTTTTTTAATTCGTATTTGTATTTCTTTTTCATGATAATTGTTATAATAGACTATGTATTTATAATTTTATATGTAGTTGTAATTATATTTGAAATGTGATTTGAATTTCGAAATTTTGAAATTTCTATTTTGAAATTTTAGAAGAAATCTGATATTCTTTAATTAAATAAACCAAATTAATATGGGCCAATGCTAACAAAAAGGATGAGATTGTTATTGGAAGTTACCACACTCTCTCTACTACACTATAGGTGGCTAACCCTCCACTTCCCACTTCTTGTGCAATTCAAATATAGTGTTCTAAAACTATTTAAACATAATGGAATGAAACAAAAAGGGTCTCTCGGTTGAGTTGCTAAATTTGGAGTTCTTTCCATAAAGAGGGGGCTTGGCGGCCAGCTGCAACCTTGAAGGGATTTTAAAATCTCTTCAAACCTTAATATTTTGGTAAATAATAAGTGCTCTATCTCCTTAAATAAAATAATCATTTTCCTTAGAGTGTTTCTACACTTATACACATACATTCCAACACTCATTTCCCATCCTTTCCCAAAAAAAAATCTACTCAAAACCCTAAGAAGGGCTCTTGGCCAAAAACTGACTTCATCTGACACAATTTGTTTAAATACCCCTTTTGGCCCATCAAAACACCTTTTAAAATTATAAAAAAATTCATAATTAATCAGCACTCCTCTTTCATCTCTAAGAATTTCCAATTCCTAGAATTCTCCCATTTTAAAATCCGAAAAAAGCCTAAAGTGCAAGCGGGAAAATTCAACAAGATTCCAAGAACCCATATATTCCCTTTTCATGGAATTTAAACACCACACATCATCAACTATTTCAAAGCCTTATTCATCATTTAAAACCCACTCAAGCCCAAAATAGCAAACCCATTGTGGTATAACCATATGTAACAAACAAAGCTCTAACTATCAAGATATTGTCCATTTTAGCCTAATGCCTCACAGTTTTGTCCCCTTTGTATAATTTCCCAGTAGGTCACCAATCCAATGACTACTCTTATACGAGCATGCTTAACTTTAAAGTTTTTAATGAAATTTTAATCGGTACACTAAAAGATGACTCAATATTTAAGAGCTTTATTTTATTTTTTGAGGGGTTTCATAATATTTTCCACTTAAATAACTAACTTCCTCGTCAATGTCTTTAGCCCATAATCATCCAACAAATAGATAGGATTCTAAAGAAACATTTCTCATCTTTAGGCTGGTGTATTATTCTAATATCATTTATAATAGCACAAACTCTTAATCAACGAGATATTGTCCGTTTTGGCCTAAAGTCCCCTTAGTGTAACTTCTCAAGAGATCACCCATCTTAGGACTACTTTTATACGAGCAAACTTAGCTTTAGAGTTTCTACTAAAAATCCAACAATTACACCAAAAGACACATCTATGTTTAAAAGTTTAATTTTTTTTTAAAGAAGCTTCATAATGATGATGAAGAAGATGATGTAAAAAGAGGGAGAAAGATAAAATATTAGTGCTTCTTCCTTTTATTCCTTCACTCAGCCTCTCCCCCATCAATTCATTAAGTACTCGAAGCCATCTAATTAGCAAAACCACTGAGTTGTGAAACAACCATGCTTCAATACTTCTTTTGGCCCATCAAAACTCCTTGGAAAATTATAAGTTTTCACAATTAATCTAGACACACTCCTCTTCCATCTCTGAGAATTTCCAATTCCTAGAGTTCTACCATTTTAAAATCCTAAAACCCTGAAGTGCAAGTGGGAAAAATTCAACCAGATTCCAAGCACACATATATATCCCTTTTGCATGGAATGTAAACACCACAAATCTTCAACCAATCCCAAGCCTTATTCATCATTAGAACCCCCTCAAGCCCAAATAGCAACCCATTAGTGGTCTAACCTATGATGCACAGACATAGACATGGCGACACGGATACGACACGACACGGACACGGGACACGTCAATTATTGAAAATATAGGACACAGAAACGGGTTGGACATGGTATTATAGTTTGTATATTTAAAAAATAGTGTATAAAAATTAAATAAGTATAATTTTAAAAATAATAAGCAATTTAACTATAATTTGTGCTTAAAATGATTAGTATTAGGATGTCGGACACGTGTCGGACGAGTGTCGTGTCAGATACGGTGTCGGACAATGCACGCCTCTTTGAGGAGAAGTGTCGGTGCATCATAGGGTCTAACCCTCTGTAACAGTACAAATTCTTAACTATCGAGATATTGTCAGCTTTAGCTTAATGCCTCGTGATTTTGCCCACTTCATATAACTTCCAAGAGGCCACCCATCCAATGATTGCGCTTTGTAGCATGCTTAACTTTCGAGTTTCTAATGAAATTATAATCATTACACTAAAAAGCGTCTCAATATTTAAGAGATTAATTTAATTTTCTTGAGAGGTTTTGTAATATTCTCCACTTAAACAACTGACATCCTCGTCAATGTTCATAGCCCATTATCATCTAACAAATAGATAACGCATATTTT